TCTCAGTAACAGGGAGACAAAGCACTCTGCATAACCGATAAATTATAAGCAGGCACCGTGTGTTAGCTTGATGGATTGTTATAGTGAATGCGTGTGAGTCATGGGTGTTATTTTTGGTCAAAAGAATTGTGTGAACTTTCCTCCTCTATTTCGAGCACTTTGAAAGGGACTACTTTCTTTTTTTTGTTTTTCTTTAATGTATATGTCAAGGAATTAGGCGCCCTATCAGAGTAGTCATTTTCTAGTTTTCAAAGTCATTGTTTTGGAGTTGAGAAGGTGGAGGGACTGAATAGAAAAGAATTGCGTGTTGATAAGGAATCTAGCCTGTTACATGTAAAAGAAAATTACTGTCACCTGCTTCAGTGCCACCCCCACCCCACTGAACTCCAGGGGTCAAGTTTAAAGCTGGGGTAGATTTACAGGGAACTCACTCTTGGAGGCATTCTGATTTTAATAAACCATTTTTTGCAGCCAATATAGAAATGCCTGGCTTTTGGTAGGTTTCTTTTAAGCCAGGCTGTAGAGTAAATAATGTTCTGTAATCACATCACTGGATCTCTAAATAAATGTTTCCCAAAGCAGCCCACCGTCTGTCCTGGCCATCACTGGAATTATTAACCGACTTTTATACTGAGTGTCTTCCTTACTCTAGTTTTCACATTTCTAGGAAAACCATTTGAGCTCAATGCTTTTTAAAGTGAGGCCCAGGATGCAACCTAATTGTTTCTGGTTCACGACAAGATACATACAGAAATTGAGAGTAAGTGTTCAGAAACTTTTATAGCAGTTTGACAGCATGGTTTTATGTCTATTTAATGATATACACTTAGGGTTTTATCTTTTTGTCTTCTTAAATTTATTTGCCTAGTCCTTCATTTTTATTAGATTTTATAAAAGTATTGATCTATTGTGGATTGGAAAAAGAGAACTGGTCTTTCCCCACCAATAGATTGACTTGTACTGGTTTACTAACACAGTAACTACCAATGGAGCCACTGCAGTTACATTGTCAGTGACTGTCAGGGTCTTCCCACCCACCAGAGACTAAGGAGATATTGATTTAAAAAGGGAAAGTTAGGGAAGTTGGAGACTTTTTCCCCCTGTCTTTTGTTACATTTTCATTGTTGGTCTTACAGACATTTCTCTGGGCCACTCTTTGCCATTTAGCAGAAGGCTAAATGAAGGTTTAGGTGAATTTTGCTTCACGTCCTCCAGAAGGGGATGCTGAGAGTCACCTGAATGTGCAGTTGGCAGCCAGCTCCCAGACGGAGCAAGCGCTGGGCTGCTCCTCCCGCCACTCCCCAGGGACAGTCACTGCTGCCTGGTGGCCTGGCCCTCCATCTGGTAGGGAGGGATAATGTTTGCTGCCAAGGGAAAGGATCAATGAGCTAATGTCTGGGGAACGTTCTGGAGTTCCATGGAGGAAAGGCAGAGGCCACCCACACGTGACACCTTGAGCTAAGGAAGGAAAGCTGTGAATGGAAAGGGGGAACCAGGAAAAGAAAATCAAGAATTGAGTCATCTCTTGACTTCACTATAGTCCCTGGAAGGGTCAGCCTGCTCTTGTGGCCTTGAACTATACTTTGAAATGGAAGTTTTGAGACGTGATGGGGAGAGGGAGAGAGGGAAGCTTATTTGCCTTTTCCCCTGCCTGGGACTTTTTTTCCACAATATCTACAAGGCTCTGTCTCTTGCCTTTTTCAAGTCTTGACTTAAGGCCTTACTGAGGACTTCTGTGGCCCTTTTCCCCAGTTCATTCTATTCCCTTTGCCTGCTTTATTTTTCTCTGCCACATGTTATCAGCTAACACATGGATCCATTATATATTCTATTGTAATATAATATAGTTAATGTGATGCCTGCCATTCAATGCAGTTTCCAAGGGCAAGGGTTTTGTCTGTATTGTTTGCTGCCGTATCTTCAGGTCTAAAGCAGTGCCTGGCAGATGCCAGGTGCCCAATAAATACTTGTTAGAGAAATGAATGAATGAATAATCAACAGTGAAGGGGCAGTATCGCAAAGGAGTCAGCTGTGTCCAACTATGCCTTCTCTGCATCCGCGCAGCTCTGTTCACTGAGTGTTGGAGTAGGAGACGTGAGATGGGCACAGCTGAGGGACGTAACCCACCTTTATTGAGCGCATACTGGATGCCAGGCACTGTGGTAGGCATTCCATGTTCATTATTTAAAGATTAAATCACTGTGTATTGCTAGCTCCATCTTACAGATAGGGTGACTGAAGAGGTTAAGAAAATCCTGCAAGGTCACCCAGCCCAGGAAGTGGCATGAGCAGAATGCTGCCTCGTCTGATTTCTCCCATTCAGGGAAATTTCCAAAAGCAGTCATTTGTTCATTTGTTTCTTTGTTTTCCTACCCACAAAATAGGTTTTAATTTTCCTCATCCATCACCAATTTTTTGTCTTTGGAGAACAGAAATCTGGGAAAATTAGAACTCAAATATTACAAGATAGGAGCTTTGCAAATAGGGGGCTGAAAAATTCGATGGAATTACTGAGCAATGTTCTCAAATAAATGAGTGGAGATCAGAGCTTGATTAAATGATCAGAGCTAATGGGGATGAATGGTAGATTTTTTGTTTTGTTTTGTTTTGTTTTTTTGAGACAGAATCTCACTCTGTTGCCCAGGCTGGAGTTCAGTGGTGTGATCTCAGCTCACAGCAACCTCCACCATACGGGTTCAAGAGATTCTCCCACTTTGGCCTCCTGAGTAGCTGGGACTACAGGCATGTGCCACCAAGCCTGGCTAATTTTTGTATTTTTTCGTAGAGACAGGGTTTCACCATGTTGGCTAGGCTGGTCTTGAACTTCTGACCTCAGGTGATTCACCTGCTTTGGCTTCCCAAGTGCTGGGATGAGCCACAGTGGCCGGCTGGGGATGAATGTTTTTCTATGCAAGGCTCCATGCCAGGCATTGGTTTCAGTCTTGGTACTCGCTCTTATTTTTCCCAATCTCTCCTAGGAAGAGTGCAACCTCCACACTCAGCTTATTGCCTCTTATTTTAAAAATAGTTATGAAGCATCTACTAGGTGCTTGGGAGAGGTCAGTAGAGACAACAAAGTCCCTTGCCCTTCATGGAACTTATGTTTCAGTAAGAAGAGGGAGACAGGAAGTCCACAGTAAGCAATGAACCATGAAGTAAATGATATGGTGTATTAACGATGGCAAGTGCTCCAGAATCAAAGAAAAGGTAGCACGGGGGAACGTTTCAGTATTAAATCGATCGGTCAAGATGGACTCTGTTGAGACGGTGACCTTTGAGCAAAGACTGAAAGAGGTGAGGCAGTGAACCAAGAGGCTTTCTGGAGGGAGAACATTTCCAGCAGAGGGAACAGGGCCCTGGCCCTGAGATAGGATCATGCCTGGTCTGTGTGGGGGACCACAGGGAGGAGAGCACGAAGTGGGGAGACTTGGTAGGTGTAAGTGAGACAACAGGATATCCCAGCAAGTGAGATACGGGACGTGAGCCAACATGGAATTGTCATCTTTTCCTTTCATTCTCTTTTTAGTACTCAGCATAGTTACATATTCCTCCAAGTATTAGCAGTGAAGTCTTTGGAAGTGTAGCCATTCCAGTCAGGCTCGTTCCCTGACCTCTCTGGATTTGGATTTCTGCAGCTGTAGCAGGAGGGGATCCTTTACTATTTAGATCATCTTTAATATCCCTTGTTTGACTCTCCTGGAATGCTTCCCCCTTCCTGAGGGCCTGTTGGATTCCTTGCTTCCCTCTCTCCTTTCTTCCTTCATTTATTCATCATGAGCTTTTAAAACACTCTTCCTTACCCAAGCGCTGTCGGAGCACGTGGAAGCAGAGGAAGTAGAAAGCGGAATCTCTGCCTTTCAATAGCTTGCAGTCTTTCCTTGCTAAGGTTCAATAAGAAGGTGATAAGTCAGGTGAGAATTAGGAAAAGTCCATTAGCAAAATAAGAACAGTACAGAAGAACAAGAAGCCATTCGAGAGAGGAGAAATGTGAGTGAAAGGCTGGAGGAGTAGGTAGCTGCATTGGCGGGGGCAGTCAGAAATTCCAGGTTCAGGGAATGCGGGAAAGGGGCGAGGATACGGCCAAAGGTGTCTGCATGCTCTGGGGAAAGGGGCAAGCAGCTGTGACACGGAGCCACACCGAAAGGGGAGGCAGGCCAATGGACCAGCCATGGAGACCCAAGAGACCTGGATCGCGACAGGAGGTAGATCTTAAGGAAAGGATGATGCCGTGAAGATGGGAACAGAGAGCGATTATCCTGGATATTTAGTACTGTGTGAGGTAGAATAAGAAAATAAAGAAGGGAAAACCAGTCCAGAAAACTGTTGCATTTTTTCCAGATCCTGATTTTGAAAATTCTTACTTGTCACCGACCTCTTTTCTGGCTCCCCCTAGAAATGTAATCCAAATTTTGAACATTGAGTTCACATACAAAAGCTTATGAGGCAACATGTGTTTGAAGAAAAAAGAAGCTATCTAAACAAGAAAATGAAGCTTTCTTTTAATATATTGTTGGCCCAATTTTTAGAATTTAGTTCTGTGTCCATTTTCAGGATTTTTAGTGATAAACTCTCAGGTTATTATTTTATTTTTGAAATGGAGTCTCGCTCAGTTGCCCAGGCTACAGTGCAGTGGTGTGATCTCGGCTCACAGCAACCTCTGCCTCCTGGGCTCAAGCAATTCTCCTGCCTCAGCCTCACATTTTTTTTTTTAAGGCAAATAACACTGACTCTTCCAAGTCAGTCTTGTTCAAGTACCACCTCTGTGAGCCATTCTGGAAACAACGAATATCCCCACATTGAGGTTCACGGCCAACTTCACTTTCCTCCATGCCATTGCAGTGGTGTGATTCGCATACTGGCTGGATTCATACATGCGTTTCCTCTAATGGGCTTTGTGTGGCTCAGCGGGGCTTGGATACCAGCATCAGCAAGCCCGATAACCCGGCATTTATCCAGGCCTCCGTTTCTGATTGTATTTCATAACGTGTTGATATTTTTAGGCTAATCTTGCACAACTGCTGAGAGAGTCTCAGGACCGAAATAAACATCTGGGAGAAGAAATTAAAGAACTTCAGCAAAGGCTCGGAGAAGTCCAGGGTGACAACAAGGTACTGTGAGTATTTACAGAGAAACAGCTCTGCTGCAAAACTGTGCATTAGCGGTTTATGTATTGCACATTGGAAAAATGTAGTGCAGCATTTGTTGAAAATTTTGTTATAGATTTTTTAATTTATAATGGAAATTCGCAGTTAGCAATCTTTTCACATTCCCTTTGTGTGTGTGCATGCCTGTATATGTGTGTTTCTCAGTGGCTATAAAATATTGCCACAACCTATTGTAGAAGTTTTGTTTCGTTCAGCTTGCTGGTGAGTAGCACTGTGGTGGAGGGCAAAATAAAACCCAATTGCTATACTTTCCCCCTTCTATACAAATAATGGATTTGTGGCTCAGATGATTGGAATTATTCACATTCAGTTTTGAATTTTAAGTAGTCATCCTACTAATTATGTTCACATAACCAATTTATTTTATTGCTAAATTTGGCAATTTGTATGGAACATTACTCAAAATCCACTGCTTGATATTAATCAAACTCCCCTGTTGGCAACGTTAATTATAAAATATGAACTCATAAACCCCCAACTAAATGTGTGCATTCCCTCTCCCAGCTGAAGCGATGCATAAAAGTACAATTGAGAAAGGAAAGAAAAACTACCAAAGTTTAACTCTGTGCCCCAGAATCGTTTGCTGTTTTGCCAGGATTGATTCATTTCCAGCTCCTTGCCAGAGACAGCTTTTGCTACAGAGATGGCGTTGGAAGGTGACTCAAGAAAACTATAGTGTGTGTGTGTGTGTGTGTGTGTGTGTGTGTGCACGTGTGTGCATGTGCACGTGTGTGTGTGTGTGTGTGTGTGTGTGTGTGTGTGTTGGGGGAGTAGTTCTTGGGGAAATGTTTTTAGATGTTACCAAATTGCTTGACAAATGATGGTGACTTTCATCATTGCTTGGAATTGTTGGTTATTAGAAGGAGCCATTTTGAAAAATGCTTACTCTAAACAACGCATAGAATTGCCTGGGTTGTCCAGAGAACTCTTCCATAACAAGACATCAGAGAGGACCCTGCATACCGCTGGCTTGAGAGGCCTGACTTGAGGGCATATATGCATCTAGCAGCCTTCTTTACACAGCTTCTTCTCCACTTAACTAGCCTTAAATTTTTTTAACCTCTTGGATTTAACATAAATTTGGAAAATTAGGCTTTACTGTTCCTGGTCATGAAATAGAGGGTGAGAAAGAATGTCCAGGAAAGGTTCTAATTAACACTGGACAAGCTAATCCAGCCCCTTGTGTGGTTTTACGCATCATTAAAAGGACTTAGGCTTTGTAACCTAAGTGTTTGGTCAATGAAGGACCAACCTTAGTCACTTCCTCAAGTGATAACAGCAGGGCAAGATTTTCTAGAGAATTAAACAAAATGTATGCAATAGTTTTCTTTAAGCCCATGAAAATACTGGAGAAGTTTATAAACCCATGAAATACTGAAACATATTTAAGATGTGACTTTTGGATCTGTGACTCCTCTTGACTGACTGATACAGACTTTTTCTATTTTTTTTTTCCTGAGCTCCCCCCTCCCCCAACTTTCCTAAATATGCTTCTGTCTCATCTTTTGGTCACTTTTAATTTTTTTTTGCCTTTTAGGCATGAGAATTTTAGGAACTGACGTTTGCAACTGATAGTTCACAGCAACAACAAAGGGAGAGCAGGCAGGCGTGGGGTGCACGTTTATGGTCCCAGCTACTCAGGAGGCTGAGGCCCGGACGATTGTCTGAGCCCAGGAGGTTGAGGCTGCAGTGAGCCATGATCACGCCAATGTAGTCTAGCAAGGGTGACGGAGTGAGACCCCATCTCTTTCAAAAAGAAAAAAAAGAAAGGGAGGGCCTGTGTGTGGGTTAGCGTGTGTGCGAGCGTGTTGCTCACAGATTGTCACAGTCTGAACTTTGTGATCTGCGTGCTCTCTGGGTCTGGATTCCAGTACCCGGGCACATTCATCAACCTTTGTCTTCTCACCTTAGGTTTAGAATTTAGTGACTCCTATTCATGGCCTGTGAAGAAATTTGCCTGCCAAAAGGGGTAGGGGAGGATGTTCTGTTGTTGAGCATACCTCCCCATTTCAGTGTCTGCCCTCTCTCCCTCAAAAAGGAAAAAAGGCTAACTGCAGTGAGCCCCAGAGATTCCATTTATTCTCATTTGCCTGTAAAGTTACAGGGCTGGTTTATTTTCAGGCTCGTGTGAGTCATGATCATCCTTCCCCCAACCCCCACCTGGAGGCCAGATTACTCATTCCATAATGATACCAGGCTTGCTTGAGAACCTCAGAAGCCCCTGTTCCCAGGTAGCTGTGACTGTGTGGTAGAGAACGAGTTAACCCTTCCGTTTGTTTAAAAAATTAATTGTGACACTTTCTGCTCCAACACTTCCATCACTTTCTGCATTCAGCTCTACCTCCGGGTACACTAGGCCTCCATGATCACAGTGTGTTAGGCTCCCATAGACTGACCCCTCCTTGCTGCTGGTCACCTCATACTTGAACTGTAGAGTGCGAATTTCAGCCCCTTTGCTGTGCTACACTGCCCATGGCCACAGGACCTTTGCACCTGCCGTTTGCTCAATCTTGAATACTCTTCTCCTTTACTTCCCCTGTAAGCATCTGCTCGTCTCCCAGGTCATAGGTCAAAAGCAGCCTTCTCCAGCTCTTAGGCATCAGTCCCGTGCAGCCTGCAATGTCCTGCTCTGCCCCTCTGCTCACACTTATGTGGCACCGCCAGCCCCAAGGGTAAGATCTCTGAGGGCCAAATTTCCAACTGTATCCTATAAATTAGTATTCTTAGTTCCTGATATATAGATATTATATCATCTCTATTGAAGGAATGGAATAGAATCAATAAATGAATGAAATGAATGAATAAAGGGAATGAGAAGAGCAAAAGGATTCAAGGAAGAGAAAGAGAAAAAGAAGAAAAGCATGCAAGACATAAACAGACCGATTGCCATCTGATTGTCATCGGTACTTTGTAGAATAAGTAGTTTAGACATTTGGAGAAAGGAACTAGAAAAGCAAACTGTTGCACAGGGGTGGAGCCAACCCCAGATACGTGCTTTTGAGAAGCTTCTACGGAGAGAGCGGAGGGTCAGCTGCTGAGCCCTGGGGGACAAAGGATGAGTGTCCTGCTCGTTGGCTGGTTCAAGTCTGTTAAATTCACGAATACTTAATCATTGTTGTTTTTGGACTCTTAACTCTGAGGCCAAACAGCAGGGCTGATGGTGTCATTTTATGAGTGACTGTTAAAGTGGAAGATTTTTTATCTCCGAGTTGCCATTTTAACTGATGACCCTTATCCATATTTTGGGAAGCCCAGATTCTAGATGTTAAGTACATTTGAAAAACAAGGTGATAGGAAATTACTTGCCTTGGCTATTTTAGGGTAGACTAATTTTTCCATTTGTTCAGCTAGAGCCTTGTAACCCTACGGGCCATAAAGCATTTCCAAACAGCCTCTTGAAAGATTTGTTGCCACCCTGGCTTCCAAGCAGCTTAGCTCTCACATGGGGCAGGGGCGGGCTTCCTGTGCCAGCATGGGCGTCCTGTGATGGGGGGGCCTGTGTGATCGATTACCTTCTGCCATCTCTGTCTAGTTCCCAAGAATTTCTCAGTCTCCCAAACTAACACAAACTCCCAAGCCAAACCAGACGAGAGATGTGAAAAGGGAAGCCTCCTGGTACCCTCCCTTCCTTAAAAATTATAGTTCTTAAAGATTAATGAGGAAAGAGGAGGCCTTCAGGGAAGGGAGGGCTCACGAAGCCACACATTACCCTGGAAAAGCTTTGCATGTTGCCCAGGGCTCTCAGCGTGTCAGTCTATGAGGAACGAGGAGAGACTCAGGCAGTGCTGGAACCACGGAGACAGCCGCAGCTCCCCTTGGCCTGCCCCAGAAGTTGGCCTGCTTCCTCTTCTGGACGTTAAGAAAAAAGTGGATTCAGGGAACAGGGATCAGGAGGAAAAAAGGGGTCTCGGAGAACTTAAGGATTAGTAAGTCAAACAGCAGAACTAGCAGAGGACATCTGAATCACAAAGACAGCAGTCCTTCCTTATCTGTGGGGGATATTTTCCAAGACCCCCAGTGGATGCCTGAAACCTGGGTTAGTGCAGAACCCAGTTGCCATCAATCAGAGCCCATTTCTCTCCTGTCTTCTACCTACAAATGAATGCCTTTTCCATCTTCACTGAGCACTTCCTCACTGCGGCCGTAGCTTTTGTAGTTTGAGGTGCAGCGGCAAAACTAGCACAGATTTCTCCTTTCTTCTTTACAATTTCATGGATAGAAGATTAGTTCTTATTGTAGACCTCAGCAACCTCAGCATATGATTTTTTTGCCTTAAGTCGAGAACTTTCACCTTTTCACTTAAAAAAAGCACTATATGGCTTCTCTATGTCTCTATATGTCCAAGTTGTCAGCATCACTGTTCTTGTGTTTGTGGTCAGTATTTATTTTTTATTTTTATTTATTTTTTTAAGACAGAGTCTCGCTCTGTTGCCAGGCTGGAGTGCAGTGATGCAATCTCAGCTCACTGCAATCTCCACCTCCTGGGTTCAAGTGATTCTCCTGCCTCAGCCTCCTGAGTAGCTGGGACTACAGGCATGCACCACCACGCCCAGCTAATTTTTGTATTTTTAGTAGAGACAGGGTTTCACCATGTTGGCCAGGATGGTCTCGATCTCTTGACCACATGATCCAGCCGGCTTGGCCTCCCAAAGTGCTGAGATTACAGGTGTGAGTCAACGCGCTCAGCCAGGTTATTATTAAGTAAAGTAAGGGTCCCTTGAACACAAGCATGACAGTTGATCTGACACCCAAGATGGCTACCCAGTGAGTAAGGGATGGGTAGCATAGACAGAAGGGACCCTGGGCAAAGGAAGCATTTGCATGTCTCCGGCGTGCCTGGGTGGGATGGACCAGGACATGAGATTTCATCGTCATCTATTCAGAACGGCACACGATATAAGTCTTATGAATTTTTTATTTCTGGGATTTTTCATTTAGTATTT